TGAAAGGTTAGCTGGCATGGTTTTTCTGGAAAGCAATTTGGCAGTACCTCTCTAGCCCTTTAAAAATGTTTATATCTTTTAAGCAAGGTCCACTTCTATGAATCTAGCTTTAGGAATGAATCAAAGAAATGAAAAAATGTTTGTATGACAGTTGAACAAATGTAAATGTTCAATAATAGAAGAATGGTTCAAAAAAATCATGGAACATTCATGGAATGGAATTCAAAGCAGTCATTCAAAATCTTGTTTCCGAAGAATTTAACAGCAAGATGCTGAAGTTCAAGTGAAAGGAAAAAAAGCAGGATAAAAATGGCATTCAAAAGTAGTATATATTTAAAATGATATATATATACACATATAAAATTCGTAGTACAAAATACCTATTTACTACATATGTATGTGGGTGCGTCAGTGTGTGGATGTGTGTGTATACTGGATACATGTGTGGGTGTGTGGGGGTGTGTGTGTTGGAAGAAAATATGTCATAATGTTAACAGTGGTATTCTCTTAGTGAGAAGATTGTGTGATTATAATTTCTTTCTTACACTTTTCTAAATTTTTGGAAAATTTAAATACTAAGTATGTACTACATTGAAAATACATTCCCAAAAGCGATTAGTGGTTATTTTCACACCAGAGGCAAGGTGAGGAACAAAGCATGGTTGACAGTGGGTGGACTGTGGAGGCAGATAGAGCTGGGTTTCACCCCTGGCTCTGTCTTTTTCTAGCTGTACGACTCCTAAGGAACCACCACACTTCGTGGCACATTAGTTTCCCCATCTGTAAGGTGGAGATGCTAATCGTACCTCTCTCGTGGGGTTGTTGTAAGGAGTATGGACAACACATGGAAAGCACCAGGTCCACTGTCTAGCACAGAGTAGATATTTCGTCAATGCTTGCTATCATTATTATCACTTCCTAATTGTTTGATTTGTCCTCTGTTGATCGTTAACTTGCTGAGATGTTTAGTTTCCCGTTTTAAATGATGACAAGTTCGTTGAACACAGGGACTGGTTTTATGTTTCCTTAGAACAGTGCTTTGCCTACAGCTGGCTTTCTTTCCCTGACTTCTTTTCTTCCCTCCCTCCTCTCCACCATTTCCATATATGATCCTGTACTGGTCACCTGACAAGGCTGATTGACTGATAAGTCATGTACCATTGCGTGGCTTTTCCACGAGCTACCAGGAAGAGAAGGGTTTGTGTGTGCATGCGTGAATGTATTTCTTTCATATTACAGGTACAATAGGCAAAGTGATAGGGTGAGTTGTCCAGGGTCCATAGGCTCTTCATCTCTTCTTGCCTTTCTACCATAGCATATGCCTCATAATAGTATATGATTCTGGAGACTGCAGAGGCCTCCCTACATTTGAATTACGGCTACTTGTAGTCTCTTCACAGTAGTACTGAGTATTGTCTTCCATTTTAGAACTTCCAGTTTTGAGTAAGGATGTTGAAATATCCAACCTTAAAAAAAAAGACACATATTAATATAAAAGGGATATTTCAAAATGTATACTGAGTCAGTGCTCATTGGGTAAATCCTGCCCAGCCATCAAAGCCTACTTGAAAAAGTAACCAAAATCCATTTGTATTAAAGTATAAATAATTAGCAGCTTAAGAATTACCTCTCCCCAAGCAGATTTGCACTGAAATAGGATCAAAGCTTTAACTCCAAGGATTAAACCCCTATGATGACATCTGGAGCACTACAGGACTTTCAAGGATCCCTACACACCCTGTGGACCCACAGATCAGATTCAGAATCCCGTCACCAGAGTGAACATTTCATGGGTAGTCAATAGACTTGGGTTCTGGTCCTGACTCTCCTGCTAACCAGTTTGGGTGCTCAACATCTCTGGGCTTCAGTTTTCTCATTGGTAAAATGGGAGAACTGAATGAGATGCTCTCTAAGGCCTCTTAGCTCTAACATTCTTCCCTTGTAAAAATTCTACCCTTGTGATGAACTTACAGAAATATCCACAGGCAGCTTCAAGGAATTTAAGGGAAGAGGAAAACCTGCTATTTCTTTATTTCATCCCACCAAGTCTCGTCCATTCGATAAACTAGTAAAGTACATATATATATATATATATATTTCTTTTACATATATATATGTAAAAGAAAAATTGGAAAATAAAGAAATGAAAGGTGGCAGGGAAGGACATGGAATCTTGCCACACAAGCACTGTTACCATTTTGGTGTAGAGCCTTCCAGAATTTTTTCCCTATGCATGTTTTAAAATATTAGTTGTAATGGGAACGAGTACACTGTTTATCTCCAGGTCTTTTGCCTGAGCCGTGAGCTCTGCAATTTAGCTATAACTTCAGGTGAAACTTTGAATCAGGGCATTGTGGCTCCTCTCCATTTTTTTTTTCACCTCCATTCCCCACTCTAGCACTAGATTAAGGACAGGCTTTACCTTCTCCTCCCAAACTATGGAACTACTTGACTTCCCTTCCTTTGAAGTATCGTCCCACTCCCACCCCATGTGGCTCAAGTTGGGATGATAATTACGCTTTCTTGCCGCCATGAGCCAATGACCCAAGTTTGACCAATAGTATTACTCTGTCTCCCAGGCAACCATGATTGGGTGGCACTTGACTCAAACAGAGCTAATCAGAGTCATTACCTTGGCTACTCAGAGTCAATCCCAATGTCCTGGGATTACATGAAAACTGGAGGAAAAGAAGTACTTTCTTCCTAGGCAGGGAACACGTGAATGTAGGGCTGGTAGTGACCATCTTCTCCACTGTGTGAAATGAGCCTAGCTGTAGGATTTAGCCAAGCAGAGATAGACAGAGTAGAATCCCTGCGGTGTGGAGTCCCACATCCTGCCTTGGATCTTGTTCCTGCAGTTCTCCCTTTAATCTTGTGAGCTACCAGTACATGAGCAAATAATTCTCTTGTTGCTTAAGCTAATGTGAGTTGGGTTCTTACCCCTATCACCTAAAGATTTCTGACCAGCATAATCACATTCAGGTTCATCCCCATTGGATCATGAGAACCATCCTAAACTCAGAGTGAGGAGTGAACAAGCTCCATCCCAGTTTCTTTAGGATTAATGTTGTAACTGCTTCCAGCTTCCCATCCTGGAATTTCAGTCCTGCCTTTCACTGACCAAAGCCTTGCTCCTTACTCACAGACTATCTAGTAGGCTGACCACCCGCTTGCCATTCAATTGCCTGCTGAGGGATTTCCTGTCATTGTACTTAACCGCCTGTTTGGATTCCAGGACATTCCTTGCTGATCCCTCTGGATATCTTATAATTTATTTGATTCCTATTTGCTGTTTTGCCATACTTCCTGGGCTCGTTCTGAGCATATATATCTGGGTCTATTTCCTCAATGTATGTCCCACCCTGGTGGGACAGTTCCAGTCCTAAATTTTGATCCCCCAATACACCAAATTCAAAAGCATATGTAGGGAATGGGGAATGTAGAAGGGACGCTTGACCCCTAAGCACATTCTCTAAAAGCAGAATCTTTCAACAGTTTTTAAGCTTGTTAGGTCTCTGATGAAAAGACCCCCAAAAAGCAAATCCACAAGACCCATGGCAGTTACTCCCAGCTCCCACTCACGCCCTGAGCCACGCAGCAGTTAGCTATACTATGTCTGTGTTCCAAGGAATGACGAGATTCCCTTTTCCTAACAATCCATATCTTATCCTTTTTATAACCTCATTCAAGGGTAGACAGAAATCTTTCTAGATTTATGGGACCATAATCCTCCCTGGGAGGTGTCCTTTGTAACATTCAAACAACTTAAGAACCAATTTTTGCCTTTTAATGCAGAAGCCTTGGTTCCCAGTCCATGGTGGTTTGTTTTTGTGATGGAAGGGCCCTGTGCTCTTCTAGGGCCATCCAGGTCACTGTTACCCAAGCTGGTTTCCCAGAACCATAAAGAATCCCCCCCCCACCAAAGTACAAGGGAGGAGAGACCCGGGAGGGCTGGGTCAGAGCAGAACGACTTTGAAAAGTTTGACTTGGAATCCACAAACAGAAAATGCTTGGCTCTGCTGGAGGTTACAGTAGGAGGACAGCTGGGAGACAGGTCCCAAACCCCGGGAAAGGAAGTAGTTCTCACTGTGGTTGCTCATCAGAGTCGACCCGGATGTGGGTGAGTAAAGGGATCTTACAATTTTCTAAACAGATCTTACATGACAGTGAGAAGTGGATGACCATAGGTAAACTGCTACCCCAGGAGAACTGGGGACACTGGTGGTGGTTAACAAGAGCTGGAAAAAAGGAAGAAGGAGGAAGATGAGGGGGGAGGGGGAAGGAGAAGTAAAAGAGAGCATTTTGCTAGATCATCATCAACAGGAAATCAACCCACAATAGTCCATGAAATATTTTCATTTGCTCTAGAAACGAATCAGCTTTTTGGGTTTTTTGGTGAGGAAGATTGGCCCTGAGCTAACATCTGTTGCCAATCTTCCTCCTTTTTTTTTTTTATTCCCCAAAGCCCCACTACATAGTTGTATATCCTAGTTGTAAGTCCTTCTAGTTCTTCTATGTGGGACACCACCACAGCATGGCTTGATGAGCGGTGTGTAGGTCTGCACCCAGGATCTGAACTGGCAAACCCCAGGCTGCTGAAATGGAGAACACAAACTTAACTATGCCACCAGCCTGGCCCCTGAATCAGCTTTTTTTTTTCTAAAGATTTTAATTTTTTTCCTTTTTCTCCCCAAAGTCCCCCAGTACATAGTTGTATACTCTTCGTTGTGGGTCCTTCTAGTTGTGGCATGTGGGATGCTGCCTCAGCATGGCTTGATGAGCAGTGCCATGACCGCCCAGGATTTGAACCAATGAAACACTAGGCCACCTGCAGTGGAGCGCATGAACTTAACCACTCAGCCAGGGGGCCAGCCCCCCCGAATCAGCTTTTTAAATTGAAAATTCCTCTGCAAAATTTCTTGATTTATTAAAAGATTGTGTTTATGCTTTTGTTCTAAGAACTGCCCTTCGACATGAGAACTATTGAAAAAAGAATCATGTTTTACGAATCTCTTTATTCATCTTTTTCAACTGGAATAACAGTCAGCAGCCTATTGCTGGTAAAAGAGACTACCAGGATGCAAGGCCTCTTTGTAGCATTACTAAGTTTTGTGGTTAAATGTAAATCTAAGACAAGAAATATTATTAATCTATGAAGTGGAATGAATTCATCCTGTGGGAAAAAAATAGATGTTTCAAAAGCTGTATAGAAACAAAAAAACTAGGGACATTTTGAAAAGAAAGCAAAATCCATGAGAGCTTCTTAAACTTTATGTATGAATTAGGAAGTCCATAAATCCAGGATCCCATAACAAACAAACTGCATCTGAAAGAAATAAGATGAGAAAATTATAATGATAAAAAAGTAAAAGAAATAAGGCTACAGGAAAGAATTCGCACAATAACTGTGACTTACATTTATTGAGCACATACTATATGCCAGGCACTGTGCTGAGCACATTACATACATTATATCATTTAATTCTCTCAACAAAGTTCTACCATTAATCAACCTCATTTTACAGATGAAGAAATCAAGTAAGTCTAGGATAAGCTCTGAAAATGCCTGTTCTAACAAGTTCCCGGTGATTTTGATGTGCTGGTTCAGGGACCACTCCTCAAGAACCACTGCTACAGAGCATCTCCACCCCTTTATTAATGGCAATCACTTGTTCCTAAAAAGCAAAAAATGCATTGCTGGAATTATCTTGTTAAAGCAAATGTATTGGGTTTCATGAGCCATCAGGAACCCAAAATAATACCTACATACCAAAGGGTACTATGAGGATCACACGAGAGAATGAAGACAATAATTATAAAACAATAATAAACACATACGTAGTGTCTACTGTGTTTAGATACTTTTCCAAGTGCTCTAGTGTTAACTTATTTAATATTCAGAACAACCCTGGAAGGAGTACAATTAGTAGGACCATGTTATAGATAACAAAACTGAGGCAAAGAGGGGTTATGAAATGTGTTCAAAGTTATCCAACTAGTAAGTGCAACAGCCAGGAGTTGGACCCAGGAATCCTAAGAGCAAAGGCTTAATCACTACACTAGGTTACTTCTCCATCTCAGAGGAGTCATTGTAGGAATAGCTACAACTACTATTTATTCTTACTGTCAATATCACTATTGTCATTGTGATAGTAGAATGGGAATTAAGGATAAAGTACCAGAAAGGACACTATACTGGGAGTCAGAAGACCAGGGTTGGGGTCAAGGTTCTATCAGAAACTGTATGACTTTGGGCAAGTTGTTTAGCCCTTTGGAATCTCAGTTATCTCTTTAGTGAAACAGAAATCCTATTAGCTATCCCACAGGGATACCAGGAGGACTACATTAGAAAAGGCCAGCCCTGGTAGCCTAGTGGTTATGATTTGGCGTGTTCGCTGTGGCAGGGGGGATTTGTTTCCCGGTCAGGGAACCACACCACCCCTCTATCACCGTGGCGGCTGCATGTTGCTGTGATGCTGAAAGCTATGCCACTGGGATTTCAAATACCAGCAGGGTCACCCATGGTGGACAGGCTTCAGTGGCGCTTCCACACTAAGACAGACTAGGAAGAAGGACTTGGCCACCCACTTCCAAAAAGATTGCCCATGAAAACCCTACGAATAGCAGCAGAGCCCTGTCTGATAGAGCACCAGAAGGTGAGAGGATTGTGCAAACAGATGAGGCAGGGTTCCACTCTGCTGTCCACAGGGGCGCCACAAGTAGGAAGTTACTCCACGGCACTAATAACAAAAATTAGACAATAGCTAGAAAGCTCCCCACAATCTGTAAAATGCTATAAACTAAGATAATTTTATTGTTTAAAATACCAAGTTTTTTCTACATCTAACCTTGCTTATATTTATTCAACACAATATAAGCCAAAGTGGAAGTTCTAAAGTCCTGAACGTAAAGTTTCAGTCTGGGGGTAAAGGGTCGACCGGCACTCTTCATGGTACCGTGCTCATCTCTGGTGAGGTTCCTCATCGTTTTCTAATTGAAGGGCTGTGCTGGTCACTCATATCTCCCTATCACGTTTCCTGAAATTATGATCAGCAAAGACTTCAGACTCCTAAGCCTTTTTTAATAATATTCTTGGGTTTGGTACTTGCAAATGTTTTCAGCATCTGAGAAGAGCATTGATTTCTTGGAAATAAAATGGTAAATTTCATTTTAACTGTGAAAAATCTAGCGGCTAAGGTCAGGCAAAGATCAGGTGGAGAGAGAGAACAACGTTCTGAGATAGTGGCAATTCCTCAGAAGGAAGGAGGAAGGAAGCAGAACTGCCTTCTCCATTAGGCACGTGACACTTCTAGGAGCCCAGAGAATGTTTTAATTTTAGTTTCTTTTAGAGCAGCAGAAAAAAAATGAATGTGACAATAATGAATATATAATAATGAGTCCAGCTCTATTATATTTGTCTTTATACCAATGCAGGTCTAAGATCTAATTTTTAATAAGTTTTGTGGAGGAAGGCACCCACGAAGGAAAAAGTGCCCAGGACCCGCAAAAGTCATAATGTGGCCCAGGGAGTGAGGGAACACAGATGCAGCGGGAGGCAGAAAGGGGCTGTGGAAGCAGCACTGACTCAAGTGCCTCTAAAATGAGCCAGTTTGTACTATTTTACCCAAATATCATACATCACAGGTTCCTGATTCTAGGCTTACAGACTCAAGTCTTCTCTCCCCACTCAGAAATTAAATGCCCTTTATGGTCTTGTACACACTTGTCCTTCCACTCAGTTCCTTTCATTTACTCCTTTATAAAAAGGAAAGCTTCCTTTCTACAGTCAGCCTAGTTTTTTTCTTTTTTCTAACTGTGGTAAAATATATACAACACAAAATTTACCATTTTAACCATTAAAATATTTTTTACTGTGGTTGAATATACATAACATAAAATTTACCATTTTTGGGCAAAAACAACCAAAACAAAAAGTGACAAATGTTGGAGAGGTTGTGGAGAAAAAGGAACCCTCATACACTGTTGGTGGGAATGCAAACTGGTGCAGCCACTATGGAAAACAGTATGGAGATTTCTCAAAAAATTAAAAATAGAACTACCTTATGACCCAGCCATCCCACTACTGGGCATCTATCCAAAGAACTTGAAATCAGCAGTTCCAGAAGTCCCATGCACCCCTATGTTCATTGCAGCATTATTTACAACAGCCAAGACGTGGAAGCAACCTAAATGCCCATCAACTGATGATTGGATAAAGAAGATATGGTATATATATACCATGGAATACTACTCAAAGTATTAACAAAGTATTAACAAAGGATAAAATCATCCCATTCACAACAACATGGATGGACCTTGAGGGTATTATGTTAAGTGAAATAAGCCAGATAGAGAAAGACAAACTCTGTATGACTCCGCTCACATGTGGAAGTTAAACATAGAGACAAAGAGAATTGATTGGTGGTTACCAGGGGAAAGGGGGGGTGGGGGGAGGGTACAAAGGGTGAAGTGGTGTACCTACAACATGACTAACAATAATGTACACCTGAAATTTCACAAGGTTGTAAACTATCATAATCTTAATAAAAGGTTAAAAAAAATTTACCATTTTTACTACAACTCTGTAACATTAAGTTCATTCACATTTTTGTTCAACCATCACCACCATTCATCTTCAGAAATTTTTCATCTCCCTCAGTTGAAACTCTGTGCCCATTTAGCAATAACTCCCTATTCCCCCTTCTTCCAGCCCCTGGACACCCCCATTCTACTTTCTGTGCTTATGAATTTGACTACTCTAGGTACCTCATATAAGTGGAGTCATGCTATATTTGTCCTTTTGTTTCTGGCTTATTTCACTTAGCATAATGTCTTCAAGGTTCATCCAATTATATCATGTATCAGAATTTCATTCCCTTTTAAAGCTGAATGATATCCCACTGGATGTACATACTACATTTTGTTTATCTGTTAATCTGTTGATGGACATTTGGGTTGTTGCCACCTTTTGAATATTGTGAATTTTCTGCTATGAGCATTGGTGTACAAATATCTGTTTGAGTCCCTGCTTTCAATCACCTCCAGTTGAAGATAACTTCATCCTAGGCCTCAAATGATTTTTAAAAACAATTTTTCAGGGGCAAACCCAGTGGCATAATGGTTAAGTTTGTGCACTCCACTTCAGTTGCCCAGGGTTCACAGGTTCGGATCCCTGGCACGGACCTAGTACCACTTGTCAAGCCATGCTGTGGCAGCATCTCACATAAAATAGAGGAAGATTGACAACAGATGTTAGCTCAGGGCTGATCTTCTTCACCAAAAAAAGAAAGAAAGAAAGAAAAGAAAAACAATTTTTCAAATACAATGACACAAAATAAAAAAGAAATCATATACAGGGAATCAAGAGAATATGAATGAGAACCAGCAGAAGCAAAAGGAGAACCTAAAATAGATGCACACAGGGGCTGGCCCTGTGGCCAAGTCGTTGAGTTTGAGCACTCCACTTCAGTGGCCCAGGATTCCAATGGTTCAGATCCTGGGCGTGGACACCGCTCATCAGGCCATGCTGAGGTGGCATCCCACATGCCACAACTAGAAGGACCCACAACTAAAATGTGCAACAATGTACTGGGGAGATTTTAGGAGAAAAAGCAGAAAAAAAAAAAAAAAGAAGATTGGCAACAGTTGTTGGCTCAAGTGCCAATCCTTAAAAAAAAGAAAAGAAATAGATGCACATAAATATGCCCATCTGATTTTTAACAAAGATGCAAAAGCAGTTCAGTAGAGGAAAGATAGCGTTTTCAACAAATGATGCTGAAGCAATTGGACATCCACAGGTAAAAATATGAACCTCACCCTAGGTCTCACATCTTATACAAAAGTTAACCCAAAATGAGGTCATGGACTTAAATGTAAAATATAAAACTATAAAACTTTTAGGAAAAAAAATAAGAGAAAACTTTTAGGATCTAGGGCCAGGCAGAGTTTTAGTCTTGATACCAAAAGCACTGTTCATAAGAAAAAGAATTGATAAATTGAACATAGTCAAAAAATAAAACTTCTTCTCTGCAAAAGTCCCTATTACAAGGATGAAAAGATACTGGGAGAAAATACTTGCAGAGCACATATACAACAAAGGACTAGTATCTAGAACATATAAAGGACTGTCAAAACTCAACAGTAAAAAAGCAAATAATCCAATTAGAAAATGAGCAAAGACGTGAAAGATATTTCACTGAAGGGGATATACAGATGGCAAATATTCAACATCACTAGCCTTAGGGAAATGTAAATTAAATACAATGAGACATCACTATACACCTATAAGAATGGCTAAAATACAAAATAATGATAATACCCAAACACTCTCAAGGCTGTGGAGAAATGGGATCACATACATTGCTGGTGGGAATGTAAGATGGTGCAGTCTCTCTGGAAAACAGTTTGGCAGTTTATACAAAAGTAAACATGCAATCACCCCACAACCCAGCAACTGTGCTTCTGGGCATTTATCAAAGAGAAATCAAAAACCTGTACACAAATGTTTTAGCCACTTTCATAATAGCCAGAAACTGAAAGAAAGAAAGAAAAAAACACCCAGAAGTCCTTCAAACAGTGAATGGTTAAGCTGACTGTGGCCCATCCACACCATGGAATATTACTGAGCAATCAAGAGGAAAAAACCACTCTACATACAGCCTGGATGGCTCTCCAGAGAATTAAGCTGACTGAAAAAAGGCAATCACCAAAAGTTACACATTGTATGATTCCACTTATATAACATTCTTGAAGTGACAAAAATATAGAAATGAAGAATATATTGGTGGTTGGCAGGGTTACAGAGGGGGTGGGGGCAGGAGGGGAAGTGGGCGTGGCTGTAGGACAACAGGAGTGATCCTAGCAGCAACACAAAATGTTCTGAATCTTGACTGTAGCAATGTCAGTATCCTGGTTGTGACATTGTACTGTAGTTTTGCAAGATGTTGCCATGTGGAGAAAATGGGTAAAGGGTATATTGAATCTCTCCATATTATTTCTTACAACTGCATATGGGTCTATAACTATCTTAAAATAAAAAGTTCAATTTAGAAATTATAGATGTGACTAGCATCATATTTCTGTTGGACTGTGCTGCTCTAAGAAAATTTGTAGGATTCTCTGAGGCAGAGACTTCATACCACATGGTTATGAAGCGCAATAGGTGCTTTATTTAACTGAAAGCACTATAAATTTTTGTATCTTTCTCCTGACATTCACTAATAACTTACTAAAATAATTAACACAAATCAAATATCACTAATATTTTTCAGTTTCTCATTTACTTGCTGTTTTTATTCTTTTTTTTTTTTTTAACCTGGAGGATCATGTATAAATCTAGTTAGTACTTCTACTTACATGTTTTTCCCATAAAATTACTTGATGCAACACAGTGGTGTTTTTTTGCTTTCACCAGATGATTTTCCTTATGACACTCTTCTCTTGAATAGCTGCTCATTTTTGTATCTCTTTAAGCCAAGCTTGGTCATAGAATTGGAATCTCTTTGCAAGGCATTGTGTTTCTTCAGCATTGAATTTTTGGTTGCACACTTATAAGCACTTTCAATAAGATCATGCCAACTGTAATTCACAAGGGTTACAATTTCCGCAGGGGAAGTAACGTTATACTCAGCATATTTCTGCAATGTCTCCCCCAGTTCATCCAGTATTTCAGCACCAGTGAGTTTGGATTCTTCAAAGAGACTCTTTTGCAGGTATATTTTGGAGAATTTAAGGTTAGTAGCAAACTTGGAAACACCAAGAGTTTGTGAGATGCCAGATGAGTGGAATTCATCTTTTTCCTCAGATGGCAGCTACTGTAGAGAGTCTTGCTTCCTCTAATTCTTTAAATTTTGTACTCTTTGTATGACTGTAAAAAACATGTCAGCCTTAAAGATATTTCATACTCATTAAGCTAGTAATTTGACTTCTAGAAACCCATCTTAAAATATTCAAAAAGGGGCCGGCCCATGGCGGAGTGCTTAAGTTCGCACGCTCCACTGCAGAGGCTCAGGGTTTCACTGGTTCGGATCCTGGGCGGGGACACGGCACCACTCATCAAGCCATGCTGAGGTGGCGTCCCACATGCCACAACTAGAAGGACCCACAACTAACAATATACAACTATGTACCAGGGGGCTTTGGAGAGAAAAAGGAATAAAATAAAACCTTTAAAAAATATATTCAAAAAGATGTATAATATCTGTGCATAAAATTGCTAACAGTAACATTATTTTTCGATATTAGAAAAAAGTGAAAAGAACCTAAAGGCTCACAGGGATATAGCTAAGTAAATAATGTTGTACCCATACAGTGGATAGCCATGAAAAATTGTTTGACAAATTGTTAATAATCTGGGAAAATGCTTATGTTATAATATTATATAAAAACTATACACAATTGTATATGTGGAATGATCTCAAATATCATATATCTGGCAGCAAAAAGACTAAGCAAACATCCACCAAAAAGTAAATTGATTGTGGGATTATGGAAGTCATTTTTCATTTTCCCCTTTTATACTTTATACTTTTTCTAATTTTTCTATGATGAACATTTATGATGTTTATACACAGAAGATAAAAACCAATATGTGTGTTGTTTACTCATTTGTTTATTTATAAGGCAAGACAGAGATCATTTATTCTAAGAAAGCCTTCCTTGAATTTCTTAGGTTAGTCTACAAACACGTTCTGTGTCCCTTTAGCCTGTCCTACACACTCCTATCAGATGTTACTATATTACAGCATTTTTCAAGGACACTCTGACCTTCAATTTTCTTCCTAAAAGTGGAGACAAAACTCTCTGTCCCAGGGGGGAAGAAACATTCTTATAACCAGAGAGTTGAGGCCGAGAGAAACCTATACAAACAGACTTGGTCAAACTAACCCTTATCTTCATGGTCATTTCTCCATGATCAACTGCCCTAGCCTAAACCCCTTCATCATGTCACATTTTCAGTTTACACTCTTTGTTCAACCTAGTATATAAGTGTTTGGCTCTAATTGCTTTTTTGGGTCTTCATTCTTCTGAGGGCTCCTATACACATGTAAAAATTACTGGATAAAATTTGTATATTTTTCTCCTATTGATCTGTCTTCTGTCAGTCCCAGCCAAAGACCCTAAGAGGGCAGAGGAGAAATTTTACCTTTTCTATACCCTTTTCCTCACAGCCCCTGGTAACCACCATTCTACTTTCTGTCTTTATGAAGTTGACTACTCTATGAACTTCATATAAATCATACAATATCTTTTCATTTGTGAATGTCTTATTTCACTTAGCTTGGTAATGTCTTTAAGGTTCATCTGTGTTGCAGCATGCATCAAAATTTCCTTCCTTTTTAAGGCTGAAAAACATTCCATTGCACGTGTTTACCACATTTTGTTTATCCATTCATCCGACAATGGACACTTATGTTGCCTCTACCTTTTGGCAACTGTGAATGTTGCTGCTACGAATATGGGTGTACAATATCTGTTTAGGACCCTGCTTTCACTGCCTTTGGGTATATACCCAGAAGCGGAATTGCTGGATCATGTGGTAATTCTATGCTTAATTTTTTGAGGAATTGCCATACCATTTTCCACAGCAATTGCACCATTTTACAATCCCACCAGCAATGCACAGAGATTCTAATTTCTCCACATCCTTGCCAGCTCTTACTATCTTCTGTATTTTGTTTTCTTCTTTTTTTTTTATAATAGCCACCCTAATGAGTGTGAAGTGGTGTATAGCAAAAGTCTTTGAAAGTTGCTTACTCTTGCTCCCATTATCTATTTAACCCATTCTATTTGTCCCCACAACTCCACAGGTAAACCTCTTCTAAGGTCAACAAAATCCTTTATAACGTTAAATCCAATGGTCACTATTTAGTCCTCAGCTCACACACTTGACATAACTGAATTCTCTTGAAACACCTTTGTTTGGTTTTCTGGTCACCATTTTCTCTTGGTTTTCCTCCCCGCCGAGCTATTCTTTCTCCAGCTCTTTGCTGGTTTCTCTTCATGGCTGAGTCAACTTCTCCCATTCACACCTCTTTTCTTCTCTGTACCTATTGTCCCTAATTGATCTTTTGTAGTTGAATCACTTTAAAAATCATTTAGACCCTGACAACTTGCAAATGTGTATCCAGCTCTGACCTCTCATCTGAACTCCAGACTTATATATCCAACTTCCTACATAACATACCTAATAGGCATCTCAAACTCAACTTCTCTGACACGTCCCAAACTGAACTCCTGGTTTTTCCTACCAAACCTGTTCTTCTCTTAGTTTTTACTTATTTCAATAAATGGCAACCATATTCTTCCAATTGCTCAAGCCAAAGGCTCTGGAGTTATTTTGACTCCTCTCTTTCTCTCACATTCTATATCCATTCCATGATCAAATCCAGTCATCTCTACCCTCAACTATATCCAGAATCCAACCTCTTTGCCCCTATTTCATGACTGTCATACTGGCTGGTCCACCACCATCCTTCACCTGGATTATTACTATAGATAGCCTCTTTTCAGGTCTGTCTTCCGCTCTTTTCTCCACCCCTTAAAATTGAGTCTCAACACAGAGGCCAGGTCATTTAATCAGGTCAAGCGATCCCTCTCTGCTCAGACTCTCCAATGGCTTCCCATCTCATGGAGAGTGTAAGCCTGTGTAACAGTGGCCTCCAAGTCTTTCATGATCTGACACTCTCCCTCTCCTCTTATTCTTATGATCTTATCTGCTACTATTTTCTCCCAGTTCATTCTGCTTCAGCCACACTGGCCCCCCCCCCCTTGCTGTCCTCAAACATACCAAAGATGCTTCCCACCTTTACCCCAAGTCTCTGCTCAAACATTAGTGTAAGAATGAGGCCATTTTGAACACCTTATATAAAATAGCATCACTCGAATCCCCTTAAACTTGTTTTTATTATCTCCAGGGTGCATATCACTACTTCATAATCTATATATTTGCTTGTTTATTTGGCTTTCATTTATTTTCTTTTGCTCCAGTGAAAGCTCCAAGAAACAGAGAATTTGTTTTTTCACTGCTGTATCACTAGTACATGTTTGCTCAGCAAATATTAGAAGAAAGAAAGATAGATTTAGGTCCAGATAGCTGAGTTTAGTGGGTTTAAGTCTTGCTTAGCTGTGATTCATCTTCAAGACAGGAACAATGAGTTGAATACAGAACATTTATGTCCCAAGTACATATTTTACCAAACAGCATTAAAGTTATCTCCAAGCCTCTAGATAGTTGATACAATAAAATCTAGGAGGATAATCGAGCAAACATTGTGCGGGCACTGTGTTACGTGGAATACACAGAGAAGACACAGTCCTTCCTCTTTCAGGATCTTAAAATCTGTAATCTGGCCATTATGTTCATTCCTTCATCAAATATCCATTGCATAAAAAACTAAAACTGACTGCATTGTACTGTCAGAAGCATGAACAAAAGTACCTTAAGTGAACTGTTCTCTGAAATGTTCTCCTCCAAACCAGTTGCTCCAGGATTTCTAAGACAGCTGCCCCAGTCACCACTATTTCAAAGTGTTTTCTTTCACCAGGTTGATGTGGTAAAACATGTCAACACCTGATGGAGTTTCACCTGAATAAAGTTTTTATAAAATGGTACACAGCACTAAAGAGCCCCTTGTATTTTTCTTGTAAGTGATGGTTTCATTAGCATAGTTTGAAAAATAACACCAGTTTCCCAATTAACTGTTTAATATGAAATAAAAGGGAAATTTTTTTTTAAGATTTTATTTTTCCTTTTTCTCCCAAAAGCCCCCCAGTACATAGTTGTGTATTTTTAGTTGTGGGTCTTTCTAGTTGTAGCATGTGGGATGCCGCCTAAGCATGGCCTGATGAATGGTGCCATGTCCGTGCCCAGGATCCGAACTGGGGAAACCCTGGGCCGCCGAAGCAGAGTGCGAGAACTTAACCACGTGGCCATGGAGCCTGCCCTAAAAGGGAAATTTTTTTAAGATCAAAAGGATTTTGAATTGGCGTAAGAATTCTAAATGTAGATCTTAAATCTTTGATCTTTGCGTATTGGTTATATCTTCATGTTGATATTTAAAAGATGAAGACTCATTTTTGAAAACTCTAAATATATTATTATAAGAAGAACTCATTAAATTTCTATATCCCTTTATAGCTTTCAAAGTTGTTCTCATAAACATCATCTCACCAAACTCTAATATTAACCCTATGGAGGCAGCCATCATATTATCTCCATTTTATGGTATTTTCTTTATAACATCCTGTAAATATACATTCATAACTATCAGGCTTATCCATTGCTCCAATAAAATGATAAAGACTTACTTATTACAATAATAGTAACATACACCATTTATTAATTGCTTCAGTTTTATCATATGTAAAAAGGGGTCAGAATTATACCTCCTGTGTTTTTAAAAAGAAAAGGAAATTTTATTTGCATTTAAAAAATATTATTTGTATGTTTGGTGTGTTTTTCAGACAGAAAGCTCAAATAATGGACTGTCCAGTTCAAAACTGGACTTAACCTTTTTTGTGTGTGTGAGGAAGCTTGGCCCTGAGCTAACATATGTAGCCCATCCTCCTCTTTTTGCTTGAGGAAGAGTGGCCCTGAGCTAACACCTATGCCAATCTTCCTCTATTTTGTATGCAGGATGCCACCACAGCATGGCTTGATGAGAGGTGTGTACGTTTGCGCCTGGGATCCAAACCCACGAACCCTGGGCCGCCGAAGCAGAGCGCATGAACTTAACCACTACGCCACTGGGCTGGCCCCCAAACCGGACTTAATCTTTCAAAGGATAATCAACAATGAAGGTCTTGGCACCTGGCCCAGTCTTAAAGTCACCCCACTCTGTAGGTACTGTACTTGTGAAGAAATGC